GCCCGTCGCCTCAGCGGGGAGCGGCCGGGCGGGCGGTGGTGGGTCGTTGGCTTCCCCGGCTTCCCGCCTTCGCAGCCGGCGGCGGACCTCCGGCGCTGCGTGAGCGGGGGTCTCGGGGTGCCTTCAGCCTCGGCGCACCGGGGGAGCGGTGGAGACGCCGGTGTCAGGCCCAGAGGCAGCGTAGCGGGTATGAAATGCGCTTTTTTTTTTTCCTGCGGTTTCCTACTGCCCGACCCTGGTTTAAGTTCGGCTTGTGTTTTTTCGGTTTTTTTTCTTTTTCCCCTGTTAACTTATTCCGCGTGGTTCATGCGTTTTCCCCTCAGCCGAGAGCTGCGCAAGCTGTTCCCGACTGCGCCGGAGGGGAAGGGGGGCTCCTGGCCCAGTCGTAGCTGCGGATTCAGCCTGAGAGAAATCCTACCTTAGACCTGCGGTTCGGTTTTTAAATCCGCTTTCAGGATTTAGGTGTAGTTTTTCATGGTATTTAGTTCTATCGACACCAGCTCCTGCAGGCGGGAAGCAAAGTGAAATGGGTCGCCTGTACCTTCCACTCCGCTTGTACTGGGACACGGTACACGCTGCCTGGAAGAGCGTTCCTCTGTTGGCGTGACTCGTGTTGCAGTTGAACCATAAATTAACACTGCAATATCTTACATATCTCATGGCCCGATTCCCCAGCTTGCGTTTAAACTTCATCAAACGTGGCTTCTTGGTCATTCCTTAGCTGGGGATGTAGCTGGGTGTGGGATTTTCGGTTGTTGAAGGCTTTGCTGCTGTTCAGGAGCAGGAGAGGGTGAAGAATGGATTCTCTGGATCACATGCTCACGGACCCCCTGGAGCTGGGACCCTGCGGGGAAGGAAATGTCACACGCATCATGGAGGACTGCATGCTGGGTACCACCAGGGTTAGCCTGCCCGAGGACCTTCTGGAGGATGTGAGTAGTGCTCAGATACTGTACCTTTTCAGAGCCTTGGTAAACAGCACGTTTAACTCCCTTTGTGGGGCTTACAGAGCAAACAGAAAAGAGGAGAAATGTTTCCGACTGTCCTGGAAAAGGTGTTAAAAAGGGCTTTGGTTAATCTCAGGAAAACTTTTAAAACTGTTCTGTTACCTTTTTTTTCTAGGTGACAACGTCTCTTATTTTGAAAACATCTGTGAGAAAGTTTTGTTACCAGTTTTGAATTTATTTTCTTGTTGCTAGTAGTAGCGTTAATTTCCTCACCTTTCCTCTTTACTCTCTATTGTTTTCTGCATTTGGTGAGACGCTGTCTCGTGACTCGTGTTATTTAACCACAGAAAGCCTTAAGGGCTAGAAAATTGTCAAGGACGCAGATGCATTTTCTTCACTATTGTTTTTTGCTTTCTTTAGCCTGAGATCTTCTTTGAAGTTGTCAGCTTGTCTACGTGGCAGGAGGTACTGACAGATGCGCAGCAAGACCACCTAAAAAAATTCCTGCCTCACTTTCCTGAAAACAACCGAGAGCATCAGAACAAACTCATCTCTGCGTTGTTCAGTGGTGAAAACTTCCGTTTTGGAAATCCACTGCACATCGCCCAGAAACTCTTCCGGGGTCAGTGAGCGTAATATACTTCTGTGTATTTTCGGGGTTAAGTTCTGAACTAGTAGTTGACGAAAACTGAAGTGTTTTGTACCTCTTTCTTAAAGATGGACACTTTAATCCTGAAGTTGTGAAATACCGGCAGCTCTGTTTTAAGT